TCCAAAATCCAAATACTGATCCCAGTTCATTGGTTTTTTCTTCCAGTACTTGCATTGTAGGATCAAAGTCAAGATTTGACACTTTTTCTCTTTGGTGCTACCAAGTTTGGTCGCTTGTGGGGATATTTTAAAGAATTGCGGAGGTTTTATGCTTTATTATTATTATTATTATTTTTTTGGAATTTTTGTGAAGACGGGACTGAAACACAAGTCTATGCAGATATATGCATAGTAATTAATTAAGGCCTACTTTACTCATTAAATTATCTAATGATTTTAAAGAAAAATGTGATTACCTAGTGCTAGGAAAATACAAACATGCCCCTCGTCATGTGGACAAAGTAGTTGTCTATTATTACTTTCGGAATCATCCTCAATGAAAGAAGGAAAATAAATTATGAGATTCCGTTTATATCTTCCTCTATTACACACATATACACAATATATACCTTATAATTTCCATTATATATATGTATGTGTATTTATTCACATGCATGAATAGTCCACCATCACGCATTTGCATTGTTGTAACAAATTGTAGCAATGATGGATTGTGATGGTTGATGACAGATTTGGTGTTTACTCTGACTCCAAATATTGGAGACCACCGTATGAATATGCTTTTAAGACTGCACCACAATGTGTTGCTCGTACCTTTCTTTTTTTTTTTTTCTTTTTGTCTAAAAATTATATCATTATAACACATTCATTTTTTTTTTTTTCCTTTTTGTCACTGTTGCACGTTGGAAAAGTACACGCATAATTTATATATGTACGAGTTTTTAATGGTTATATATATTTTTTCATAGTGATTATTCATTAAATATAAAAAATTGATAATATAACGTGATAAAAATTTGATTCATTACTTGTTATAATTTTTTTAATCAGATATTCAATTTATTATGACTGTTAGAACAATATCTTATAACTAAAATGACGATACTCATCTATAAATAAAAATTAAAATAACCATTAAAACCACACCGTATATATTAAAAACTCTTGTGTGTATCAGAACTCAAACGTCAATTTTGGCATGAACGCACGCGGAGTTTTGTTGACTATTCATTTTTAATTGAGCGAGCTAATTGTCATCTTTGAAGAAGAGACGTGTCTCATTTCATTATATGGAGAGGCTTCTTTTTGTCCCAATTATGAACAGAAAAATGGAAAATTGTGAATTAGGTGAGTGCTTGGAAGTTGGAACACATAACGAACCAAACTTTCAAGGTTACAACAAGGAGCTATATATATAGCATTCATTTTTATTTTATTTTATATAATTTAGTATCCATTTTGTTGATTGCGTGCTGAAATTGATGACAATATTGTTCTTCTAAAGGAAAAATAAAGCTATACCTACATTTCTCTATGTAATGTAGTATTCAATTGGTTATTACTACAATAACCATGGTCAATTATGGTTTTCTCATATTCAAATAGTTATTACTTGTACTTGCATCTTTTTATTGGATTTTAATTATCTATAAAGATCTCTTTGTGTGATTCAATTAGTCTTTCCAATATATATTTTCTCAAGTTCCTAATTATATCAATTCATATCTTATAAGACATCTTATTACTAAAATTGTAAGTAAAACAAATCCTATAACACAACAAGAATCAGTTCTTGTTAAGATTAACAACCATGACTATATAAATATATATATATATATACACACTTATAATAGTAAATAGTAAAAAAAATAATGGAACAAAATTAAGAATATTGATTAAATGTTGATAAAGTGTGTTTTCTTTTTCAGACTCTTCAAAAGAGCTTTTATGGATGGGAGTATGATTAAGAACAGAGTTGAAAGAAAATTAAAGAAAATTATTTAGTTGCAAGAATAAAAGGTTAATGTAATTATAATAATGTGAATTTTTTTTTTCTTTTGTTCTTTGTTTCTAAACGGATCATACTTATTGGATAGGGGCAACGAGATGGACAAACATGTCACAAGAGAAGTTTAAAAAGATAAATAGTCAATTGTTCACTAGGGAAAAAAAATAAACGGTAGCAATAATTGATAATGAGAAACAAATGTTTTAACACTCGATCCTGCTTTTATAAGATTTATGGAATTATAATGAGGTTTAACCAACAAGATTTTTTTTGTTTTTTTTGAAAAAAACAACCTATTTGGTACGATTAACTTCAGTACACTTTGAAGCCTTTATGAGAATTAGTTGGTTTCTAATAATAGAGAGGCCTTAGGCTGTTGCCTTAATGGCCTTTCCAATTAATCGACATTGAATATCTAAACTAAAGATATATAGAGAGGAATGGCCTCTCGCGATAGGGACATAAAAAAATATATCATTCTTCAAGCATTATATATAAGATTTACTCGTTCAAATTTTCTCAAAATATACTAATTTAAAGAGGGTAGAATCTTAAGAGAATAGTAGATGAACTAAATAGCATATTTCCTCATTTTCTCTTAATACTATAAGCATATATATATATATATATATATGTGTGTGTGTGTGTGTCATGTATGCATATTGATCTAGTGGGATGTATGATTCACGACAAAGAAAGGCAACACAAGTTAGAAACTTTGGAAAATCCCAACCACAATATAAACTTAAGTGAGATAATGTAGCAACAACCTTGTGGTCCTGAAATCCAATATATATATGTGCTTTATGCCTTTCCTCATTAGGGGCGTTCGGAAGTCTTTTTCCCGTGATACCTCGTTTTCAGCACTAAAATCCATGGCTTTACAATTGTAGCTACTTTCAAGTGCTTTTACTACATTTAATTGGGGGGTTACTAAGAGTAAATAATTAAGTACGTACTTTGGTAAATTTACGACCAAATATATAGTATAATTTGGTCCTGTGATGATGAATTCACCAATTTTCAGGGGAAGAAAGAAAAAGAAAGAAACTAGCGATATCTGCAATATTCCAAAGAGTCATGTCGGTAACATTTTGGGATTTCCTTCTTTTTTTTTTTTCATTATTTCACATGTGGGTCGACAGTGGCCTTATGTAGTTGCTAACAATATTAAATCTTCTGCTTCTTCTATAGTAACAAAACTTTATGGTATTGTCAATCGGCATGTATTGTCAAGTCTCATGTTCTTAAAAGTGCCATTAATTTCTTTTGGAACTCTCTGGCAAAAGTGATGATCTCCCAAACCAATATTTAATTTCCTACTGTTAATCATCCGAATTTTCTCCTTTTTTCCTTTTTTTTTTCTCCCTCAACGAATTTGTCTTTGTTCTAATCTTAAATGTTTGGGAAAAAAGTCGTGATACTACATATTACCATCAAAAATACATTTTTTTTTTAAATTTTATTTGTTGTTTAATAATGTTAAATTAACCTCTACATTAAATCAGTGAAAAAATTGTTTGAATTATTGATGTATACATTTATAATTGGTAAAAACTTTTTGATATCATTATGGTAACAATTAAATGGTACTTTAATTGCCACCCATACATATGTCCATTAATACTCTGAGATTATTATGGGCCTAACACACGAAACGAATGGACAGGTATATTAATGTTTCAAAAGCATAAACAAGAATCTAGCAATCATTCAACAAAAGTAGGAATAAATCATTTTCTAGTAATCATTTTGCATTTTTTTTTTGTGCCAATAGTTTTGCCTCTTAGATGTTGCACCTTACATTTTTTTTAGCATGGATATTCAACCTGCAGAACGTCTCGTTCTCATTCGCCAGTCACCACATTGGTAGATAAATAATTCGATCTTAAGTATTCGACTTTCAGAAAATGAGAAAATTTTCATATAGACTCCAAAATCCATTGGATTTTCTGACTATTGAAATTCGAAATATACCACTACAACGTGTGAGGGATTATCGTTTTCAACTTGACATAGCCGTAACATGCTATCGACGGTTATAAAACCGACGTCGTAACTTGTTGGATTCCATGCACGTCGGTCCAAAAGTGATGCAAAAAAGTTACCTACGTCTCCACCACTTTGAAAGACGTTTTTGCTGCATGAATTACGTGGTTCTTTTTCATGACTTTATGATAAGCACAATAATGATGAATTAATCTTCTTATTATAGCTTTTACGTTAGGGCACGTTTTTTCCCTTCTTAGTAGGGCAAGGTTTTTTATCCTTTAAAATTTTAATGATTGAATCTATGAATGGGAGCATTTTTATGTTCTATGATCGATTCATTAATTTAACATCGCTCATAGATCCCGCTATTAAAAACTCGATTCAACAATTGGAAAAACTTACTATCAATAATTAAAACAAAACAACGTGTCATAAAAAAAATGAAATTAATAGAAAAAGGCAGCCGTTCCCACTTTCCTTTAATTTAGGTAGACTATAGTGGACATTTATTTCCTTACCTCTTTTGCACTAGAAACAAAAAAGAGAGAAATAGGTTATTTTTGTCTTGTGTGTAAATACATACATGCATGTGGTATATTTAACGAAATTGTTGGTAAATTGCGTCTCTTTCATTCATCAAATAAAGAAACAAAATATCACGAGATAAGAGATAAAATTTCATTCAACAACCCATTCAAAAAATAATAACAATAATAAAAAAAATCATTCAGCAAAAAAGTTCATTTACTCAGTATCTAGTAACTCTCCTAATAAACTGTTATATCGTTCTTTTTTCCCCCCTAAAAACAAAACACTAATTAAAACTTCCAATTTAAACATGAAGACTTTTGGCTAATATTCATTAATATTGTTCTCATCATCTTACTCTTATTAACAAAAAGATGTATGCATATTCCTTTATGCGCGAATATAATACCTATTTCGTAGTTAGCAGCATATACATAAACTAAGCACCTTAATTCATGCAATCTTGTATATTCTATTAAAAAAAAAAAACTTAAATTTCGAAGAATCTAATCAGTACAAATAAAGTAGTAGTAGTGCACAAAACTTTCACCGTATTCCAGAATAGTGATAACTGATTTTATTGGAACTAACCTGATCATTAGAAACCTTCACAGGATTAAAAAAGCTAGCATATATATATATATGTGTATATATTTCAAATACCCATGTAAAAATATACACCACATCTAATTTATACAATTAAGCACATAAAAGGTGGACACATGAGAGTTAAGTAGCTTAATTGGTCGTAATTGGCATATACTACACAGAAACAAAACCACATATACCAACCACAAACCCTAGAGGCACGCCATGAACGGCTGCGGAACCTCTCCCTCCGGCCACACCGCGGCATCGCCGATGAACACCGACGTCCACCCGCAAGCACTATTCCAACTACAAAACTCTCCGGTGCCGCCACTCATTATCTCCGGCAACTCATCAATCTCGCCCCAGAAGTCATCGCTGTCGTCGCCGCCACCGCCGTCGTCGCCTCCATCATTCGACGCATTACTTGTGACGTCACTCTTCTCGGCCGCGGAACTCACGACGGCCATCATGTGCGCCGCCTTGGCCGCCGCCTCCTGGATGTCCCGGGCGGTGGAGGTGAGGGGCCGGGGGAGGCTGTCGACGTCGTCGGGGAAGTTGAGCTGCGCCTTCCGGCCCTTGAGGCAGTACGCCGCCACGTCGTAGGCCTTCGCCGCCATCTCGGGGACCGGAAAGGACCCGAGCCAAATGCGGGACTTCTTCCGCGGCTCCCGGATTTCGGACACCCACTTCCCCCACCGCCGCTTCCTCACGCCGCGGTACACTGGGTGGCGCGTGCCTCCGCTGCCTCCCACGCGCTGCTGCTGCTGCTGGGAATTGTCTAACTGCTGGCTTTTTGAGGCGGTTGGTTCATCTTCGGCGAATGGTGGTTGCTCCATTGCCAAATGCCAACTATTACTAGCAATAGCTAGAGACCGTTGTCTTTGTGTGTCATGACATTAATGTTAATATTCATATTTATATAATATTTGTATAGGGGAGTAAAATGAACCGATGTTGAAAGTTAGGGTTTGCTTGAAATTACTTCTATGCCCTCGGCATCCAAATCTTGGCAAGGAATAAGGATGATGAATTTTTTAATAAATTTTTAAAGTATTTTTAGCATTTTTATCCTTTAAATTTCTCTGAATTGACTTATTGTCCCCGAAAGTTGAAGTTTTAAGAATAATGTCAATAAAGTAGTGCACAGTATTCTTAAATGATAACAATTGTTAAAATTTGAAAGCAACACTCTTGTGGCTTTTTATTTCAGATTATAATAATTTGCTAGAAAAAAATTTTATTATAAAGAAAATTGAAAAAAAAAATCCTTTTGAACACAAAGTTTTCTAAAAATCTTTCTTATGAGATTGTTAGAAAAAAAACTTTTTAATAAATTAGGCATATTTTTATCTGGCTAAAGAATGTCTACACACACTCAAATCTTGAATGCTTGCGTGAATATTATTATTAGTCTGGCTGTTTTTTAAATGCACTCCAAAACCAGCCATTTCCCTCTAATTTTTATTTTTACTTCTAATGTTTGGATATGAATCTTTTATTTTAAATCTCTCAGTAACTAATATCATTTAATCAGTAAATGTTAATTATGTGGAAGTTCACCTGAATTTTTAACATATCTAATCAGTTCATGGGAAAAGGAGTATCTAGGAAAGATTTTCACGTACTATATTGTTTCCCCATAAATGGATGTGTCCTATATATATGTCCAACACAGCACAGTCCGCAACTACAGAAAAATGTATATGACTAATGATTGGGTGATTTACTATAAATACCAAAAAAAAAAAAAAAATCAACTCCTTAAAATGGTACTTGTGTAGGGCAAAAGAAAATGTTGTTTTTAGACTGTGTATGGAAGCTGATTTTGTATATTATTAAATTTTGTATCAAACTGGCGTTGGTAGGCGCATTTATTTGTATATAAATATGGTTTTTTTTTATTAATTTAAATAGATTTGTTATTTTATTTGATTATTTGATAATTGTCGAAATCCGGGGGTAAATATGACATATCACATGTGACCGGCCCATATGGATGTTCCTATAAAATTCTGGAAGAGTAATTAGGTATCATATTTGGTAATTTCGTTAATTTTTGAAGAATTTATTGTTTACTTGCACAAGTAATGGATCTGCTAGATTTGTTATTTGTAGTTCAATATTCACAGTAGTAATTTTAAGAACCTTGTAGATAATAATAAGTGTTCTGTACGTACAAAATTGTGTTAAAAACATAAAGATAATATTCAAGAATTAATCGCTACTAAGACTATAAATTTGTCAATTGTCAAATATTAATAAGAAAGGGAATCTTTTCTCTCCTTATAAGATGACAATATGCAATTTATGTTTGGACTTAGGCCCTTCAAGTAAACGTTGCTCTCAAATTCCCAATGGCACAAATTAGCGACTAAAACCTTTATCCAAGAACATTATAAAATAATTAAAATTTCTTTTGAATCAAGATTCCCCATTGACCACACAAGAAAGAGTACAATTCTGATGCATTATCTTCCTATATATATATATATGGAGATATATCTTTGTGGTGATTATGTGCCTAACTACAATACAGCCACCGAACGTGGTGGAATAGAAACTGACATAATAATTATGCAATTACCACCCTACCACTGTACCACATATATAACTTGCCTAGCCGGTTGCTATAGCAAGATTTTATATAGCTTTTCTCTATCTTTTTTTTTTCTTTTTCATTTTTTTTTTGAAAATTTTCATTTCAAATTTAGCAAATTACCTGCTCGTTTTGCAAATGACTGGCAACTATAACGAAATTTGGCGTTGGATATGAAGACAAATGAATCACATTAAAAAACATAATATCAAAATTGAATGAGAAAAGACTTGTCCACCACATATAAAATTGAGCGCATTTAAAATTCGTTAAAAAATAATTAACGAATAAATTATCGTTTTTTTTTTTTTTTAGTATTTTCTGTTCTTTTTTCTTTTTCTAGTCCATCTTAGCAATTTTTGTGTCTAGCTAGAGGCTTTTTATTAACTTCACGAAATACACGGGGTCGGAGTCACTTTTGTAGCTTTGTTCCTTTCATGGACCTTTTTATTGGGACTTTTCGTCCATGATTTGGATGTGTTTATTGTAGTTTTGATGTGTGAGCTAAGAAATAGACAAAAAGTTTCATGTGGCAGTGATCTTCCATCCGTCAATGTGTCATTTCATTGGCCTCCTAGATAATGAGTTTGATGATGACCACAATTTCTACACAAACCAGCACTTGTTTTGTTCACAAGGATATGTACCTAGAATTACTAGCCAGCTAGTTTGTCGGTCGATATTAACCAGAATACCTGAGCCAACATACACACTTAGGGCCCTTGTAAAAAGATGTACTTTAACTAGTTAGAATTGGTAATTTGAGTACGGACGCGACCATACAATTTAAAATTTACACAAAGTTAATGAATTTAGATTTATTATAAATGAGTTTGATTTATAATTGAGTTGATACGATTAACACGATTAATAAATAAATTAAGTTAAGATTGACTTTTTAACACGAAGTGATACGAATTAACACGATTAATTATGTGTCATCTGTAATTTAATGATATGTGATATAATATGACTGTTTATATGACATATTAAATACAAATAATGTGAATTTTAATATTTGTAAATAAAATTCATTTATATTTCTTAAAAGAAAATATAAATTGACCAATAACCATGTTAAACATGTCTTGACCGTGTTAAATAAATCATTATTATATTAGTTATATATATTAATTTAACCGGGTTATACGGGTTGATACGATTAACATGATTAATAATGAGTCATGTTTGGATGACATTTTTGACACGTTTAATGAACAAGTCGTGTTTGAATTGATATTTTCTAACACGATTAATAAACAGATTGACACGAACACGACCCACTAACACGAATTATCACCCTTATAACTAACTTCTTTCTAGTCAATTTGTACTCCAATTAGAGCCCTTGTCATGAAATTGAGATGAGAAATCCATCTGTAATGTCAGGTGAAAAAAAAGGAAATATATATATTATATATATTAACCAGGAACCCTTCATTCATTAGGTCAGTTAACGAGCTTACTTGGTGAGAATTAATAATCAATTTTCGTCATTTTTAAAAATTCTTTAATTTTTTAGTTTGCACAGTGGGTTTTCCAATAATGAGGAACCAAAAAAAAAAGTGTAGACTTAAATTTAATAATCATTTTGTGTATAAACGATTTCTACTGTGTATAGCTAATTATTTCCTGCATTATGGTAGCGTGCAGCTAATAGTTGAATGTACTTTGTAAGGCAATAAAATGTATTACTGTACTCCCAACAATTATATCAAGCATATATTATAGAATATAATTAGAATGGAAATTGGAAAGGTTAATTGAAACAAAATGTGAGGGGGCCACATGGAGAACAATCAGAAAATAGGAATGTGAAAACGAGACAGAAGATATGACGTAGATTCGTAGTATATGTATACCAAGGTGTAATACTACTAATATTATGTATATAAATATATATAATTTATATATGGACATATGTATATATATACATGTGCTATATAAAAAGGGGTACCGGGCTACAATACGACAAATTATCATAAACCACACAAACATGTACACAACCGACCCCTCCATAAAATGTTAAGTGAACGTTTGGTTTATAAATTTAGAATTATAATCAGAATTATTCTCAATTTACGTGTGTTTTTTTATGAAAAAAATACTGTAACGAGTCACGAATCATAATTCGAACTATGACATGAATTCTCATACCAAATACCATACAATAAACTCGGAATCTTTATAGAGAAACTCAGTATTTATCAATATACGTTTCTATATGTGCGTATATATGTTTGTCATTTCTTCCTTTTTCTTTTATTTTATTTTCTTCTTTTGTTTTTTTCGTGAGTATTTATCAGTATACGTTTTTTTATACTTGCGTGCGTATTTCTTCATTTTTCTTTTCTTTTCTTTTTTCCCCGTCTATTTGAGTAGAACATCATTTTCTCTAATATCAATTTTGCAGATACACAGAGTGGATGATTTATTTATTCATTTTCTCTAATATTTATTTATTTATATTGAGGGGTATGGAGGTTGTTAGGACAGAGACGAGCCACAAGAAAACAAATCAAGATATTAAAGAATAAACATGTGTCGATTTATATGTGTGTGTACATATTCCAATAATATCTGAGGGAGTATATTAGAAAAAAAGTATTTTTATTAATATTGATATTTATTTTCATTTCAAGAAGGGTTTTTTTAGATAATTTATTCAATTATGTGTCTTCTAATATCTATTTATATGGAGCTACATTCATAGTGTTACTTACCAATAAATTCTTTTTTCTTCTTAGTCCACGAATGTAGGCACCTTACCACTCTATGCAGCGGCAGAGGCAAGTGGGGGCACGTGGGGCACGTGGGGGCACGTGCCCCCACGGAAGTTATGTATAAAATTTTTTTTATAACTTTTAAAAATTACTACTTTTATTTATATTTTTTTATTTTGCTCCCACACAAATTAAATTAAAAACACCTGTTAGCGTTCACATTATGGTATTTTAATTAGTTTGATTATCATGTTCTCATCTATAACTGAAGTTCTTGAGATAATTGTTGATGATGGATCAAATTCTGAACATAGATGTGAAGCAAACCATTTATTGGAATTCATGCAATCGTTTGATTTCATATTTAGTCTACACTTGATGAGAAACATATTAGGAGTGACAAATGAATTATCAGTAGCATTACAGAGAAAGAATTGGGATATTTTGAATGCTATGAGCTTGGTAAAAGTATGCAAACAACAATTCCAGATGATAAGGGAGAGTGGATGGGATTCTCTTTTTTATCAAGTCTCTTCATTTTGTGAAAAACC